AAAAACCACCGACCCGAAAGGGGGAAGACGGCAGTGCGAGGAGATCTCCAATTTCTAGTTTGGGGCCTCGTTAAAACCTTGTGGGCCTAGCACAAGGAAAGAGTACCCGTACAATGGTAATAAAAAGCCAAGGATTCTCCTAACTTTTCTAATTACAATTTGACCCAAATGTGGGCGAAATAAGATAATACTAAGAGTAGCAACCCAATAGCTAGTTAAATTATAAAAAATATCTAAAAGGCCCCAAAACCGGTTACTATTGCAAATAAACAAACATCCACCACTACAGAGTTGAAAGAGGCTGTAGGTAATCATAAAAACCATCTTCAGTTGAGCTTCGAAGTTTTGTGGAACCGCTGCATTCCGACGCGATCTAATAAAATGGAGGGTTGAATTTGACGAGGAAATTCACCTGCTGAATACCGTTTCTTCTCCTTATGATCATGAGCCAGCTTAGCTAATTCATCGGCTACACCATTTGCCTCTCTATAAACATGTTGACCACCCCAAGAGTCTTTAAGAAGCTGCCGAATGCAAGTTATAATGTAGTGAATCTCCCATGCCACGGTAGCCTTGTTAAGTATCATGTCTAATACGAGCTTTGAGTCTGATTCAAAAATCAATTCTTCGACTCCTAATTCCTGACATATAATCAACCCATCTAATATAGCTTGAGCTTCTGCTAACAGAAGAGATCCTTTGCCGTAAAAGTGAGAAAATCCTTGAACCACGTTTCCAGTAGAGATGCGAACCACGCCACCACCTGAACAAAATTCTTCCTTCATTGAGCCGTCAACATTCAGTTTAACCTTGGGAGGGAATGGAGGCTGCCATTTAATCCAGATGCCCTTAAGCATCGTTGAAGTCTTGATTCTGAAGTTGAGATACTGGATGACAATACGCGCCTCCTTATCCTCCGATGCCCGAACTTGTATGGCGTCATTTAGAGTTTTCAGATGTTGCGTCATATTCCGTACGATGGTTGTCGTATTCATAGGAATGTCCTCGAAAATAGCACAACACCGACTTTTCCAAATCTCCCAGCAGCCAAAAAACAAGATTCCCAAAGCAATCAACCCATCCTGCGTACGAAGACTATGACCGGACGTCCAAGTTCTAATAAGGTGATGCATTGACCCATAATGATATGGTTTATGCCAAATCGAGGCATAAGACTGCCAAACTCCCTGAGCCACGTCCGATTGTAGAAAAAGGTGAGCGAAGTCTTCTTGTCGTGGAATCTCGCAACAACGACACTTTGATGGAAAAATGCAGCCCCGTTTTTTTAAGGTATATAGTGAGATATATACGGTGTTAAAATATTTAATAATCAATTATTTACACATGGTTAGCCTAGTTCGAATCCCCTTGCCAACGGTCGCTAGGTCGAGCTTGTCACACATGGTTAGCCTAGTGTGGTTTACATCTCTCGTATGGTTTGCAAGCTATTATACGAGAGTGTAGGTTTACCCAGTGCACCTATATGGTTGGCTGCGGGTTCCTGCATTACCAAAAAAAAAAAAAAAAAAATTTAAATTAAATTAATTAGTATTAAAATTAAGTTCAAAAATAAATTTATTTATAATTTCCAAGAAAGTTGATATATTTAGACATTTTATAAATGGTAGTATATAAATATATTAATAAAATAATAAAATATTTTAATTACCTTTAATTTTGGAAATGATGACATGTTTTTTTATGATTTATTTTCACCAATTAATTTGCCACATGGGATGAAATTAATGCATGTTATCAATTAAAATTGCCAAATGTCAATCAATTAAGGATGGAATTCAACTTTTATATATTATATAGATTTCATTTTTTATTGTTTTTTTTTTCCCGGGGTGCAAAATTACAAATTAAATTGTTATTCTATTCAACATCCAACCTAATTTCGAGCGCACATTGTGCGAAAAAAAATAAAAATCACACGGAATTATTGAAAAAACTATATTTTCTTTCAAAATAAAATAAAATAAACTAGTTAGGGTTATTTCATTTTTAGGTTTTCAAGAAAACAAATTTCAAGCTCTCTCCAAAACTCAAAGCCAAATTGAATTCTCGAGCATTAAACGACAACCATTTGATGTAAATAACTATTTTTTTACTTAAATTTAACATCGTATTATGTTTAGTTAAGAAATTGCATTGATTAGATTAGATTTGTTGGCTGAATCGCTGAAAAGATTATAAAATAATAATATTGGGTTATGTTTCGTGCTTTGAAGCACGAATCAAACATTTCGTGCAAAGTTGCAGGAAACAGGAGCTTTTGTTTCGTGCAAATTTGCACGAAATGCAACAAAATGAATGTAATTTTTTATTTTTTGTTTCATTTCGTATTGCATTACACGAAATGTATCAAAGCATTTCGTGTAAGAAAACACGAAATGAATTAAAGAAAATAGACTTTCTTGCATTTCATGTTGGTTTACATGAATTACGTAAAATCATTTAGCAAGTCATTTTTAGCATTAGTCCACAAAAAATGGCAAAAAGGAACATGACAATGGACTTAAATGCACATTGGTCCACAAAAAAAACAGTCTTTCAAAAAAATTCATCCCCATGTATTTAGTCTAAAATACGCTCTATAATATAGTTCTTATCAATTCCATCCATTATGCTCTAACTTCCTTAATATTACACATTGACCCCGGATTGAAACAAATATATCACATTAACCCCCATTTTAATATTTTTTTGAAAAAATATTTTTTTTTTCATAAAATAATTTTTTTTCCAGTCAGATTCCGGCGTTGAATTTTTTTTTCTGATTTTTTTTGCCGCCTTGTCAACCGCCGGTCTCCGGCGTTGAGTTTATTTTTTCTCAATTTTTCTGAATTTTCATTTTTAATGGATCCTAAAATATCATTTTTTTGGTTGAGACTTAAATAATTATCCCACCATCCTTTAAGTTGGCCAGTAAAACCAGCTATGATCATTTTGGCAATATTTTTGTCAGTATTATTAGCAGTTTTGCAAACAGTACTATACATGAGCATACGATGTGCAAGAGTAAAAATATGCTTTTCAGTATTTCCATCAACATTCCATTCATAAATACTTTTCCCACTATAACTATTTGAAATAATATATTCTTGTTCTTCATGAAGAACATCCAAAGGAGTTGGTCTGTTATAATAATATTTATTATGAGTAGGCTTGTCAGCCCATTTCATTTTATTAATCTCATCAATATTATTCGTATCATCATCTAAAGCAGAAATGTTAAAGGCTTTAAATTTTTCTTCTATAAAATTTTCAAGTTGAGAAGCAGAGTTTTTAAATTTAAATTCTCTGACTTCAGGAGGAGGCTGGATGGAAGAAGAAGCAATGGAAACTATATCAGTTTCCTTTATAGTTTGTATATGAACATCCGGTTTAATTTGATTTATAACAGAAATTATTCTTTCTACTCTATCTTGTAAAGATATGATTTCTTCACCAAGAATAGTTAAATAAAGGTTGGTGAAGTTTTGTTTTTCAAAAAGTTGATTTATATGTCTTGTAGTAATTTGAAGCATATCATTTTCAAGTAATTTTGAAAAAGCAGTAAAATTAATTTGTTTGTTATTCTTTTCTATTTGAAAAGCTGATTGTGGAGGGAAAACATATTTTTGTATTTGTCCTGTTTGAAGCTTATAATCTCTTTCAATAACAGAAATGTATTCTTTAACAAATGTATTAAAGAACCAAGGAACATAATATATGTTTTTCACAGAATTCATAAAAACTATTAATAAAGTATTCAAACTCTTCTTTAGAGAAATTTTTGAAATACCATAATCTAAATTCATCCCATTTGGGATCATAAAATTCTTCATTGATCTGTGCTCTTGCACTAGATCCTTTAGCAAAATTGATTTTTGGGTTTAAATCCATAAATTATATTGTGAAATTCATATCTGATAATGTATCAGTTTCTTTAATATTGTGAACAATATTATTTCTGTTTATTATAATTTCATCAATATGACTTTCTTTTTCAGGTCTCATATCTTCCCTTGAAAAGGAGGTAGAAGTTCTAGAAGTTTGTGGAATCTCCACATTATGGTCAAAAGGTGAAATGTATGAATGACTCGAACTAGATCTATGAAGAGAAGGCAGATATTTTTGTCGATTTTCAAATTGTATGTGTACAGATCATTCATTAGTCTGAACAATATTTTGAAGCCTATCATTTATTATAGGATTTCTAGGAATAGCTTGTTCAATAATCCAATTATCTGGAAAAACAATTTCTTCCCATTTCATAGATCTTCGAGTTGTAATCTTAGATTTATTGAAATTGGTTTCTATAAGAATAGTTTCATTGGAATTTTTATCAGCTCTTTTGCACATAGGATTTAAAGTAAAAAGAGGATTATAATAAACTCTATAACAAATGCATATGACTTCTGTTCCTTGTATATAATTATACCCATGTGTTTTAACATTTAAAGTTAAAGCATCTAAGATGTTTACATCTGAAAGAGATAAAGAAAGATTAGGATAAACATCAAAGTAGATTGGACCATGTGCTAGACTGGATTGTATAATTCCCATAAAGGGATTGTTTCCAATTTAGATTCCTGCCATCTCTGAGAGTAGCAAGGAAACTATCAGGTAATCCTTCAAGAGTTAATGGTCTGAAGGCAATTTGAACACATCCTATATGAAGAAATTTATGGAATTTAAAAGGAATTAAGTCACTTTTATTAAGTAGTCTTATAACCATTTCTTCATCATGAAGAGGAACTGATGATTCAGTTGTTTTAACAATTTGTCTAAGACCTATTTTTTCAAAGGTTCCTAATTTGTAAACCAATCTTGGTTCGATTTTAGGGATAGTCCACTTATTAAGTAGATCCAGGTTATCTGGAATGTTATAATCTTCAATTATACTGTTTTTCCAGAAATTAAAAAGTTTATCAAAAGCAATGAAAGCAAATCAGTTGCTTAAATATACAAGAAAAACCCTGAAAAGTCCCAACAACGCCTGCGTCGCTCCTGGACATGATGGCAACAAGGACAAAGGGCACAAAGTATATTTAACCAAACTGATTCATTCAAGCTTCAACACGACTTAAAATTTTTGAATTTAAAATGACATTATTACCATGTTAGCAGAAACTATATTTAGTCAAGCCATGATCTAGCACATATATCATCTAGCCGACCATATAGGCGGCAAAAACTGAAAATAAAGTAATAACAAAATTTAAATACAGAAAATTAAAATACTCACAAGGATAAAGAAAACCAGCAGCAAGCTTTTATTTATATAACACAAGGTTTTTACAAAAGAGTGGTTTGGGAGAGAGGAGAAAAGGCAGAAAAACTGAATGCCTTTCCAAAATGAAAGACAAGCCTATAAGTAGAGAAATCACGGACATGAAACCCCGGATTTCAAAATAGAAAATAAAACTAAAGGTGATATTTCACCAAACAAATGACTTAGAAGTCAAAAAGGTCAACAATTACCACAACAAAGAAATGACTCATAAGTCAAAAAGGTGATTAGCAATTTGCCCATTATGAAGGACAATAATGCTCATACTTTTATTTTTTGTCGTCATCTTCATTACTTTAAGAGAGAGTCTTTAAACTTTTCAAATTCATTATCAATGTCTGGGAGGTCTTCAATATCATCATCAATATCATCCTCCGGGTCTTGCGCTTCTTGCATAGGATTATTTGATTTGGTAAAACTTGAATCGGAGTTCATGGAAGCATCTGATTCTGAACTTCTAATCTGTTTAGATATATCCTTCTTCATTTGCTCGAGGAAAATATCAATGATTTTTTCCTTTGGATAGATCTCAGAATATTTCTGAGCAAAGAGTTTGAAAGGACTAGTATTCTCATCCTCCTCTCGTTTTTCTTGATCATTTCTGTAAATGTTGATTTTTTCTTTTATTTTTTCAATGGTTTCGGAGCCAAATATCTCTCCTGTTTCTGTATCTAGGCGCATGAGTTT